ACTGTTTTCTTAGGTTTCTTATACTATTTGAGATGCTCTATCTATTCATAATTTTATTTTTATTTCAGTCATCCTCGTTTCATAGAAAATTGAATTTCTATCAGTGGTTCCAGATAACGTCCAAAATAATGTCCCACCCCCTTTTGAATCTACTGTGAAGCCAATAGTCATTTTAAGTCAAGTCGTTTTGCATAAAAATATTCATCAGCTCTGGCACTATCGATTGCTGAAACCAATAATTTACTGGCTTTTTCCATTTTTGAATAATTTACATTTTAGTGGCGTCCACTGGCGTGTGACCGATAATTTGTCCCACCCCCTTTTCCCTATCTTCTCACCAAACTACAAAGAGTTAAGAGCTGATTTTTTTATCATAAATGTCAATTGTTGGGCACAACTTATGTTGTAAATATCAAGACTCTAGCTCATTTCTAAATGAAGTAATTTGAACAACACAGTGAGATGTTCCATTCTATAGTTTGCACTACCTTTCTATCCAACTGAAAAATCTGAAAAAATTTTCTCCGAAATTCATCATTTTTGTGCTTCTTCTGAATACGCCACTCAAAAGAAAATGTATTGAAACCTACAAGATCATGTTAATTCCAGGTTGTCATCTATTTTCTACGTGAAAATTGTAAAAGATCTCTTAATGAGTTTTTACAAATCTTTTGATCTCCAAATCCGACGAAAGAAAAAAGTGGTAGTTTGCAAAACCATTTGTTTTTTATAGTTTGAAGTGTGTTCTATTCGCTGATAATGCTTTTAAGTGCACTCATTCACTTTTTTTTTTTCGACCATATTTTCAAAAAAAACGGTACAATAGACAGTAGAATCACTCATATGTACAGTGGCTCCAGAAATTATTGGCCGACCCCTGCATCATCAGTTAGCTTTTTATAATGTATTTGAATCCGATGAACAAAAGAGCTCGAACATAGACCATAATGAAGCTTGTTATTAGTAGTCTGTGCGGTATTAATTTTGCGCTTTTCTTTCGTATCTTTCCTATTTTATTTAAGAGATTATAAAGATGGTTCGACTTTTAGCTTCCAAAACTGATTAGCCCAGTTCTGTTAAAGAATTTTTTCTCGAACTAATAATTGGCATTAAGGAAATTTTATACTTTCATTGTACTAGTCTAGGTCCTAAAGAATACAAATCAGTTGAAACGTCCCGAATAAATCATTTAAAATAGAAATGGAGACTTTCAAAAGCTGGTTTCGTTGCTTGAACTTTCTATATATCGAAGAGAGAGGGAGTATTTTCCTAGACTAAAATTGGTTTCTCAATAAAAATTTAAATAAGAATTGAGAACTGTGATATTTATGAATATAAGCAAAAGCTTCGGATGACATAAAAGCGTTCTTCGGTTTATAGAGATGGCGAGAATGATGAAATTCCCTACTTTTGTAAACAGAATTGTGTCCGAGAGGAGTTCTTTATAATAACAAAATACGAATCACTAGTAAAACAAACTTCATATTCGAATAGATCACATTCAGTTATACTAGGATGAATCATAGAATCAAAATTAGAAAGCATTTTAACTAGTTAACAAAAGTTAGAATAATAATAATAATTAAAGTCAGAACTGAGCATACAAGAAGCTCCAAACGAAAACTGGCCACCAAATTTCAGAATTAAAGTTGTTTTATCTCGTACACATTCTCGATACTCAGTACGTCTCATATACTTATCAATGTATCAATAATTATCTTATGGAGATCATTATATGAATTTTGTGACCAGATTTTTTGATTGATGCCTTTACCATGCCCATGACTGATTCTGACGAATACTCTTCTAATTCCTATCAACGAATTAAAATCCTTTCTAATTTTGATTTTTTGATGCACTATAATACAACTGAATATGCTCTATTTGAATATAAAATTTATTTTTCATATTGCTTCAGAATTTAGTATTGCAAGGGGCACTTTTCCTATACTAACAAATGCGTAAGGGCAGAGAATTTCATATTTTTTCTATTTCTATTAACCAAAAGATGTTTATATCCCATCCAAAGCTTATATTGATATTTACAGAGATCGTTCTTTCTCAATTCTTATTTGAAATTTTACTGAGAAACCAATTTAACTCTAAAAAACCTGCATCCTCTCTTCGATATATGGATGATTCAAGGTACGAAACTAGTTTTCAATAACCAGAGTTCTATTTTAGTTGATTTATCCAGAACACTCGAACGGATATATATTGTTTAGAACCTGGAGTAGTACATGAAAGCAAAAATATTTGTTAGTGCCAATTATTAGGTGGGCAAAATATTCTTTAACCAAACTGGACCAATCATTTTTGGAAGCAAAAAATTCAAACATCTTCATAATGTCTCAAATAAAACAGGAAAGATATGGAAATCAAACCTAAAAATAACAGCACATAGGCTACTAACAATAACCTGCATTATCGTCTGTGTTCCTGTTCTTTTATTCATTTGATTCGAATCTAACATTAAAAACTAAGTGATAATGTAGGGGTGGACCAATAATATTTTGAGCCACTGTATATATATATATATATATAATAGATCGATAGTTAAACATCTGTGAAATTTTTGTATCTAGACATATTTTCAAAGTTAATTTATTTCTAAATGATATTATTTAACTAGTAGTATTTTATAATTCGTTCATTATCGAAAATAAAACAATGAAAAAAACATATAATAATATATCTGTAAGTTCTATTAAAATATGAATATGTTTACTTTTATAATATGATTTATTAATTATGATTCGTTTTTCTCAATCAAATAAATGTTGACACGGATATATATAAATAAATATGTTCATTTGATTAATATTTTTTTATAGTTAATATTTGATGGTGATATTATTATTCAATATATATTATTTTAATATATATTATTTTTCATTTTTCATAAATTTTAATTTTGATTATAAACATAAATTAATTTTTGAAAAAATTCGTTCATATATAAAATTAGTATGTGGCGCAGTTTAATTTTATTGGTCAATATTATTCTCAGGCTCGAAACAAAGATAAACTCAATCAATGATTCTCTCATTAGATATTAAAAACAAAACAAAATGAAATGAAATGAAATAAAATGAAATGAAACATATATTTGTTTCAACTGATAAAAAAATAAATAAATTAAACATATTTATCGAATTAACAAATGTTAAAGAGATTTTTTTTAGTCTAATAGAAATCAAAACAATTATTTATTTAAGATAATAATAATAATAATGAAATCATCATCACGTTCAATATTTAATAATCGAAATGTTGAAAATCGTCCAATACCTTCGTAATCATATTTATTTTCCTTTATTCAATTATTTAACAAATTTATTTTCATTTATTTATAGAGAATATTTTTTATCAACTAATTCAATAAAACCTAATGATGAAAATTGTAAACAATCTGATGGATCATCATCATCATCATCATCATCATCATCATCAAATACAAATGCTGATTTAATTACAAATCATTTGAATGAAACAAGAGCAACATCGAAAACAAATGATGGAACAACACAGTCAGTTTTTCTTTATCATTTATTAAATAATTATATAATTACTTAACAAATTTATTATATAAAATAAATGAACTTTTTCTATTATTATTTAATATTTATTTTCTATGACTATCAATAGAAAATTTGTTCATTTAATATTATATTTCAATTATTATATTTAGGTTAATTAAAGTAAATTTATTAATTGTAAAAAAGAAAAAGTTTCGATAGAACATAATTTGTTTTAAAATAAATAAAACAAAAAAGTAAAGTGTTGTTTATGTTTTATCTATAATCATAATAATAATATGTTCGTTCAAGATAATATTTATTCGAAAAAATTTAACTAATTATTATTTATAAAGATAAAGATAAATAATAATGTTAATGTTAATGTTAATGTTAATGTTAATCTTTATTGAAAAAGAAAATAAATATATATTTTAACAATTATATTTATAATTAAATAATTTATAAAATAGTTCAATATTTTTCTTTTTAAATATATTTATTGTTATTGTTTAGACGTCAATGGACAATAAATGATTTTGAAATCGGATCACCATTAGGTCGAGGACGTTTTGGTCATGTTTATTGTGTACGAGAAAAAAAAAGCAAATATATTGTTGCTTTAAAAGTAATTTTTATCATATATATATATATATTTATTATTTTAATTAAAGATTTAATTTTTATAGGCTATAATTAAAGATCAAATATCAACTCCTCGTTTAGCTAAACAATTAATAAGTGAAATATCAATTCAAAGTCGTCTTAAGTAAAGTTTTTTATTTTTTATTTTTTATTTTATTTATAAAATTTAATTAGACATCCAAATATTTTACGTCTTTATGGATTTTTTCATGATGATCAAAGAATATTTTTATTACTTGAATATGCTCCTGGTGGAGAATTATATAGACGTATGCAAAAAGATAAAATTCTACGAGAAAATGAAGCTGCTGGAGTAAAATAAATCTTATATACATATATATAAATATATATATGTAATCGATTTATTTAGTATGTTTATCAACTTTGTAATGCTTTATCATATCTTCATTCAAAACAAATTATTCATCGGTATATTAAAAATAAATTTTCTTCTAAAAAAAAAAAAAAAAAAAAAAAAATTTTTTTTTTTTTTTTTAGTGTTATTAAACAAAAAAAATTTTT